ACAGAATAGAGATATCAATTATGTAGGTAAAATATACATATATGTAAAAAAATTGTATAAACTGACAATAAATGTAAATACACTCATTTTGAATAATACATGCATAAATTATGGGAAATACGGATTACCTGATACCTCAGATTAACTGAATTTTTTTTGATGATCGCCACTTGCAAAAAAAAAGTTTGACACTATTTTTTTCCCCGAATTTCCCATCCAGAAATTTCTTCATTTTCCCATCCCACGCAACAGGCCCCATCTGCAGAACTGCTTCATCCAGCAGCAAACAGAGCAAATTCGCAAACTCCAGCGAAATGTTTGTTTTCTGACTTATCCAGGGAGTAAGACGTGCACAAAATTCTCAATTTTGTTTGAGAATGGGTTTTTTTGGCGCATCACTGGTCATCATTCGTATAAATTTTAGAACATCACTGGACATCGCTGAACAAAAAGCGCTGCATTTTTCTGAAGTTTAGCTTTCCAGCAATGCGAATTGCTGAGGACCAGTACTGTTTGTTATTCTGCTCCAGAGTGGACCTACTTTTTCCCTGGTTTTCCCTTCATCGTTATTTTTTGATGATTAAGAACCCTACCCATCCACCATTTATTACGTCTGAATCCGGGAAGCTCTATTTAAATACCCACCAAACAAGGGCATCTGAGCCCACAATGGGGTGCGAACTGAGATCGGTACCTTTTCTGTTTACATTCTCACCTCTTTTCCTAATTTTATTTTGATTTTAAACTATCAAACTGTAACTTGCCCCATTGGGATCACTTCTTATTTGTCATACAGTGATAATTTACGCCAAGACTGTTGTACTGACGAAGTCCAGTTATCACTGAGTTAAGGCGTTTAGAGGTAATGAACCAAAAATTCTTGGTTTCAGCTAAATCTTTATATTTCCTTATATACTGTAGGTTTCAGTCTCTAATATATCCAACATACTCCACTAACAGTTAATATCTTTTTTTAAATAGTGTTTGTAATTATGCTCAAGTTTGAGAAATGTCTTAGTATTTCTAATATCAAATAAATATTCTGTATCTAGTGAGTTCAAAAAGCTATTCTGAGTTCAAAAAAAAGCGGCAAGAAACTCGAAATCAAAAAAATACTATTGCCTAACAGTGCTTAACAAGTACCACATAAACCTGTTCTTCCAGTGACCTCATTTTACCGTTTTTTCTAACTATCGGTGCCAGGGCTCAACGGTGAGGGAAAGGAGGTATGGGGTAAACAGATGTACCTCTTTCTTAGGAATCGTATGACTAATTTCCACTTAGTTTTTTTGGAAGCAATCCTGTTTCTCAATTATTGACAGACAGCCTTTCCTGTAGAAGACTGTTATATTGGTAAAGTGCAGCCACCTGGGTCAAGTCCTGATGCCTCATCCCACTCACCCCCCCCCCCCCC